GGAATGCTGCCTATGACTCCAAAAACATCGTCCCCACTGTCAAATATGGAGGTGGAAACATTATGCTTTGGGGGTGTTTTTCTGCCAAGGGGACAGGACAATTGCACCGCATCAAAGGGAGGATGGATGGGGCCATGTACCGTCAAATCTTGGGTGAGAACCTCCTTCCCTCAGTCAGGGCATTGAAAATGGGTCGTGGTTGGGTATTCCAGCATGACAATGATCCAAAACACACGGCCAAGGCAACAAAGGATTGGCTCAAGAAGAAGCATATTAAGGTCATGGAGTGGCCTAGTCAGTCTCCAGACCTTAATCCCATAGAAAATCTGTGGAGGGAGCTGAAGGTTCGAGTGGCCAAACATCAGCCACGAAACATTAATGACTTGGAGAGGATCTGCAAAGAGGAGTGGGTCAAAATCCCCCCTGAGATGTGTGCAAACCTTGTGGCCAACTACAAGAAACGTCTGACCTCTGTGATTGCCAACAAAGGTTTTGCCACCAAGTACTAAAGCATGTTTTGCAAAGGGATCAAATACTTATTTCATTCATGAAAATGCAAATTAATGTATAACTTTTTTGTAATGCATTTTTCTGGATTTTTTTGTTATTGTTGTGTCTCTCACTGTTCACATAAACCTACCATTGAAATTGTAGACTGATCATTTCTTTGTTAGTGGGCAAACTTACAAAATCAGCTGGGGTTCAAATAATTTTTTCTTTGACTGTATTAACATTTTTAAAACTCAAATATCAATACTGGTTTTGATATATTTCCTTGCAGGTGATAAAATAATAAACCAAAAGATGATGCTTATGCACCTGCCTTTGTTTCAGGCCCTTGGAGTCACTTCTTCACAGGAACGTGCCCTTATCAAGAAAAAGATCAAAGACCTTAAAGTTCTGATGGAGAAGGCCAAAAGGAACCGCGAGAAGGTGGCGAAACGGCGTGAGAAGCTACGAAAGAAAGAGCTGGAGTAGCAGCAGAAAGAGATGTGCAAAGAAAGCCCTGCAGAGTAAAGTCAACTATTAGATCACCTCCTGCTTTACTGTAGCATGACAGCAAGTAGCATTGTGAGGAACAGAACATCAGTAGGCCCCACAAACGAAGGTCGAGGGGTGTCTACTCAGTACTTCGATAGTTCTCAGCTCCAACCCCAAATGTCAAGAGATTGTTGAGTGACTATTTCAAAAAGCAAATTGAACCAAAATGGAGCAATTTGATGATAAGATTTGCTTCACCGTAACACCTGTCCTGTGTTTTTAGACATTTCAGTTCTGTTTATTTTTACTGTTTGTAGTATGTAAATTGAATTTATTTATTTCCAGAGTATGTGAAAAGGTATTCTCATCCCACATCATCCTCAGATCTGTTTGTGTTACCTATCACATCACCGTTGGACACAATGACCATGTACATATACAGTGATATGTGCAGATCCTAATATGTTTGTTGTGCCATTTTGATAGACTTATGTAAATCCCGTTCAGACATATAGAGCAGTGGGATTTCTCCATCACTTTGAAGCACATACAGGCCAGGCCTGTGTGGTGGAATGTACTGTAGGAGGCAGTATTCATCTCCCACCACTGGGTGTCCTCATGCTGCTGACTTTGACTACTGAAGAAGGCAACAGTGGAACCTTACAAAAGGAACTGAACCGGGAAGTTTCACTACGAGAAACAAACTCTTTGTTTTCAAGAACACTGTAAATGTAATCTCTGTGCTGGCTCATCCAGTGCTCTTCACATCTAAAACACTGAAACAGACCAACAACAAGACCCTACTGTACTAAGTGGACTGGTTCTAAAGGAGACTTCAGGTACAATGTAATCATTGAATTTATAACTCACCAAACCTGTACCATAAAAACAAAAACAAATGATAAAATGAAACTTCTTGCTTATGTACATAATGTTGCTTGTAACCTGCTTTTGACCTCTTTTTATATTATCTTAATAACAAAATAATACCCTGCTGCTGACTTTAGAAAATCTAGAGTAGTAGAATTTTTTTTTTAACGCTGCCTGCTTCTGTGCGTGTGTTGAAACACATACAGTAGACTAAACTGAGTCATCCATTTCTAATGCTGTCATATAGATGGGTCACCTATGTGATCAAGAACAGGTGCAGGGGGTGCAGAAATAGTCTTAACATCACCTAATACTACTGATGGTAGACTGGAAATTGCACCGGTTAGATGCAATATAGTTTTCACTTTCTTATGAAACTGGTTCAGTTAGACTAAAAAAAAAAAGTTATTTGCTTATTAGATAAAAATATACCTTTTATGTTAAATTTTCTGTTTGTACTTTATGCAGTTCTTGCTTTAGGAATATGAAGCTCATTGTGACATGTTGTTCCCTGTGTTTTTTTCTTTAATCATTCCTGGGAATCATTCCATAGGTTTACAGTAAAACTAGAGACACCAGAGTCACCGTGATAAAAACGAAGGCAGCTTGTGTTATGACTTCCTTTTGTCTTAAGGGCCCTGCCTGGTGTACAGGCTAAGAACAGGAATAGTTGGGGTTACAAATACCTCCATGCAATGCCACAGTAACACAGGTTTCACCGTTCTGTGAATGTTATTTATTTATTTCTGTATTTAATGAAGCAAATAACTATTGTTTTTGATAACTTACAAAAAATAGAGTATTATTAATGCCTAATAATTTATCCAGCATAATTGTATAATTAACTTCTTTTGCCAAAACATAATTAAAACTGCTCATTAAAAGTGACTGACATTATGGTCATTAAATCAAGTGAGAAGGATTAAAAGTTTGTTGAATGAAAGCAAGAACAGCTTACAATACTCTCTCATTGTGCTTGTTTTCCTTTGATACAACCATAGTACTGCACCAGTGCTACTCCAATAAACTGCTCATGATGTATTATGAAATATTTTGTCTTCACTTTAACCCTTATGTGAAATCCCCACCTTGTCTGCCAGGCAGCAGGCTGCACTCTTCTGGTTCTTTTCTATGTATAGTAAAAAAAAAAGAGCAATATACTGTAAAGAAACCTTGTTTTTTTTTGTTTTAATTGTGTCATTGTGTATGTGCAGTTTGTTGGGGAACTGAAGAGGGTCAAAGGTCAAACCTTAGCTGAAAATCTGATCTTTTCTTTGTGCTTGACTGACATGATGAAAGCAGTATATGGATGAGACCCTGGTGCAGGCAAAAATACAAATACATCTGGAAGGGTTGTACTGTATGTGGAGAACAAAAAATGACAACCACAAACTGCTAGCCATGCTTTCACTTTACAAAAAGTTGTTTATCCTTCTCCTCCTCCTTTTTTTGTCATTACTTTGCTCTCATGTTTTTTGCATTCTGAAAAGCTTGAGAGGGCAGCTACCTGTCACACTGAATAAAATGTGCAGCCACTAGTCCATGTCCATGGTTTGATTTCATTTCTTTTTTAAAATACCTTTTGTGTGACTTCATACATATGGTTTTAAGTAGTTATTTGTTGGCCAGAGACAGAATCTGCATGCATCCCAACTGACTGTTTACTAGGTTTTTCTTTTTATTTGTCTAGACTTTGTGTTGTAAAACTAAAAGTTAGGTTCCACTTAAAAATCTAACAAGTATGGATCCAGTTCAGTCATGATATAATAGAACAGAATAAAATAAAAGACAACAGCCAGCTTCCTCTCTAAAACCCTTGTTGTACCACCGTCATGCACGATGCCTTTCTCTCAGTGGACCTCTCAGCAGAGTTGCAGGCCTTAAACCAGAAGCAGTCAGCTGTATCCAGGCCCTCCCTCTCTGCTTTCTATTTATATTCAGCCTAAATTCACTCCATGACTATTTTTTCCTTTTGACAACTCCCTCGTGTCACTTGTTGTCCCTCTTATTCCTTCCTCATACACCCCCCATGGCTGGACTCACGGAGGACTTCCAGTGTGGGTATGCTTAATTCTGTCATTATCATCATTTGTGCATTAATTTTCAGTCTCTGCCATGTTGTCAGGAGAACTCTAGCGTCTGAGCTGGCTGTTTTGGCAGTTTGAGGCCAGTCTCTTAGGGAGGTAATGGAGGAGTTGAGCCCCAGACAACTGGCTGTCAAGCAGCTGAAGCGACGCTTCCTGCAGGCCCTGCAGGCCAACAATGCCCAGGAGGTCCAGCAGATTCTGCACACTGGCAAACTAGACATTGACACTGTTCTGGAGGTGGAGGACCCCAGCATGGTCCTAGCCTCATACAAGCAAGGTAAGACAGGAAGTCATGTGAGATACTATACAGAGTGTTTTGGCCTAGAAGGATAAGTAATCATGAGCAACCAAATGATATGAGTGTTCACAGTAAAATACAAGTTATGGAGAAAAAGTATTTGTTAATAAAAATGCAGAATATTGTCAATACTCTGTGAGTATCATAGTTGTGGGACTAGTTCAGTAGTTAAGTCACTAGGTGGTGCTAAACTCACATTGATCCTAAGTATGAGCCTTAGAATAACAAGAAACATTGTTTTCAACAGGTGAATTACAATAATATGATACAGTATCCTGAGCCATTATTTATCTTGTTTCCAATGTCAGTGAAGTCTTTAAAACATTATGAACTGTAAATCAGACATTATCAGCATCTTTGGCCTTTACTATTTCTGTTCAAGTCTTGGTTCTCTGATCTGCTATAGGATATTGGCTACCAGGCTACAAACTAGAGAATTCCTGGGCAATGGGTATTCATATATGTGTAATGTACAACGCTGTGGAAACAGCACTGGTGCTTCTTCAGGAAGGTGCAGCCATCAATCGGATGCCAAATGGGAAGACACCACTGCATGTGGCTTGTGAGGTCTCTAACAGCGACTGTGTGTCCTTGCTTTTGGATTACGGGGCAAAGATCAATAGCCTGTCACTGAGCGGACACACGCCACTGCACTACTGCATCACCAAGGAGTCTGTGCACTGTGCCAAGCAACTTATCCTCAAAGGTCAGGAGGCAACGATACATGGATGGAGAATAGGTGAAAGGCCAAATATAGACACTGTTTAAACCATTAAACATTCATTCCAGCTTTTGTCCCATGTAGGTGCAAACGTCAACATGCCCAGCCACAGTAGTGATGAGGAGACGCCATTACACACAGCAGCCAGATTTGGTGTTCCGGAGCTAGTGACTCTATATTTAGCCCATGGAGCATCTATCGATGCAGTCAACTCTTTCCATGAGACTCCTCTGATGACTGCAGCCTTCTGGGCTTTTGACAGCAAAGAGCAAATCTACCACGAAGACCACCATCTTGTTTGTCGCCTTCTGCTGGACCACAAAGCAGGTGAGCGCTTTTGAATCACTGACTGTACAAGAGTTGTTACTCATAGTTCCCTTTTGTTCTAGATCCCAACCTCCAAGAAGAAGACTATAAAACAGCCCTTCACAAGGCCGCCTGGAACTGTGATCACATCTTGATGCAGATGCTGGTGGAGGCCGGGGCAGATACACGCGCCATGGACATCAATGGCTGTGCCCCCATTCAGTATCTCCTTAAAGTGATCGATGTTAGGCCTATGGCCATACCTGAGCTCTGCTGTCAGCTGCTGCTCAACTATAATGCAGCACGGATCTACCCACCACAGTTCCACAAGGTACAGACATGCAGACTGATCATGTGATATTTAACCCAAGAGAATTTAAGACAAATTTCACTGTGTTGATAACAGAAGGCCCTTGAAGGATTCCTGTGCTGTACAATATCAGGTTATGTGTTGTTTTGTGCAGGTGTTGCAGGCCTGTCATGATTACCCCAGAGTAATAGAAATCATGGTCAACTCTTATGAACATTTAAAGCCCACAAAGAAATGGAGAACTGCCATTCCTGATGACTGCTACAAGGTAGTAAAATAAAAATACTCTACAAGGATAGCATGAAAAACCATAGACCAAGGACTAAGAAGCTGTAAATAAATAAATATTGTTCAGTTTTAAAAGAGGGATTTTTTAATGAACTACAATATACACAATCATTAAAACCTAGACAAAAATGCTCATTAACCTAGAAATTACAAAGTGGCATGGATAACAAAATGCACAGCAACATCATTCTTCTTGTTTTCTCAGCGGCATAAAGACTTCTATGACTCTGTGTTTGCCGTTTGCACCAACATTCCTCGCAGCCTGCTTCACCTGACCAGATGTGCCATCAGAGTCAGCCTGGGGGGCTTTTGTCACAGAGGTGTAGCACAGCTGCCTTTACCACCTCCCATGAAGAAATATTTATTACTGGAGCCTGAGGGGATATTGTACTGATGGAGACAGCTTTGTTCATAAACTTTGATTACTGGATGAGATGCTTCTTTACCAACTGATGATTTTAATAGAGAAAACTGGTAACATTCAACACTGTGCCTGCCTGCAGACTCCAGGAAGTAAAAACACTGCTAGCTGGAGCTGTCATTAGGCAGTGCACTTTTTATATTTTTCCCATCTGGACCATTCCCAGAGAGTTTTGACTGGAATTTCAGAAATCTCTTTTTACTGTTTGGCAGTACTGGAGACACTATGCACCCTGCCCTTGCTGGAGTGACACCCCAATCACAACTTACTATAAAACAGATATATGGAGATGGTTTGAGGTTGGACACCACCAGATGACACCACCCAAAATATTATCCACTATCTATGCTGCTTATCCTGAAGACAGTTACAAGGGAGCTGGAGCCAATCCCAGCTGACATTGGACAAGAGGCGGGGTACACCCTGGACAGGTCACCGGACTATCAAATTATTATCACAAGTTAATAATCTGTTGAGTGTTTAAAAATACACAGAGGTTGGAGGGACAGGTGAGAAAATGGCAGTTTATTGATGAAAATGACTAATTATAATGGCTAATTATAACAACAATGTATGATGCCTGACCAGTGACAGTATTTGTGTGCTGGGCCCCAAGGAGCCACTATCCCATTAATAATGTCCTTTATCTATCTATCTATGTCTTTCACCTTATAGGTCTCACCGAAGTGTCTTTCACTAAACATTTTTTTCCTTTTTTGCATTGATATTACATCTGTGGGGTACTGACCAGCTGGTCTCTCTATTCTAGTGCTGAGTCATATGCTAGAAGATCCAAAACCACCCTTAATGCTCACCCTCGGGCTCATGCTGTTGTGTTACTCCACTGTTTGCAGAACAAACACTTGACAAAGCACTCCACAACAAGTGCTTGTGTTTCCAATTGAACTGCATGTGAAGCTACATTCAGGGTCCATTTTCTGAACACCTCAGCCAGAAATATACAAGAAATAGAACTATACCCACTTGGTTCTTACCTGGAAAGGCAAAAAACTATCCTGAAAAGTCTCAGCTTTACCTTTAATTCTGTAGGAAGTGTGACCGGTGTTAATTAACCCAACTTCGAAACATGTGCTCCAATGATGTGTGTTCAGTCTATTGGAACACTGGGAGAGAAGGAAGGACTTTGTCTTCTTTTCCAGTCATACAGCACACACACACTAATGGCAAAATGATTTTCAGTGTGTCTCTGTGTGAAAACTGGTGGTCTTAGACAAATTAGAAAATAGTTATTTTCAAGTGAACATTTCAAAGGAAGCCTTAGTGTAAATATCTCCAGTTTCCACATTCATAATTCCAGAATTTGGAGGTTTTGTTGTTTCAAATACAGTGTCATATCTTTTCATACAAAGGAATTAAATCCCAAAGGAAAGTGACACTGTAACTTTGTAGTCCTACTGTCACATCAGTTTGACAGCATGACTTCAGTCTAATAAATAAACATATGTCAATGGTAATGTTGATTTTCAACCTTCCATACTATTCCTATATTTTTGTATAGCTCTATTAAACACACCCGTGCCATGTCACATGTGCACATTTGTACATAAAAGAATGCTAAGAGAAGATAACTCTATGTTCAAGGCTAGTGGCCCAGCAGGTGCAACACAGAGAAGTGCACTGTAGTTACAACATTAATGGTTAGACCTGACTCTCTGTGCTCTTAACATAAGCCAGGGAGACACAAAGAAATGTGCTATAAGAATGGAAAAGGCACTGACTGTTGTTGTGATTCTGACATTGCAGTGATCTTATTTTTACTATTTGTACTGCTACCTTTGAGAATGAGCTTACATAATGCTGTGCTTATATTGTTGTCATGCCAATAAAGCCTCAATAAACTGAAATATAGAACTGACAGACAGAGAGAGAGAGAGAGAAACAGAATAGAGTGTGGCATGTGGGCACACTAATGAGGGGATAAAACAGAGAATGCCAGCCTATTCTCAGCGCTTACTGGCAGTTTGCCACAAAAAGCCAATGGACTGTCTCTAGGACAGTGACTGACGAACAAAGTTTCCTACCAAAAGCACTGAGAGGGACAACTTCCACATGTTACAGAGAGAGCAGCAACTGCTTGATGTTTTATTACAAAGCTTCCTGGTCTTAATTTAGTATGATTATTATTTTCTTTTAAATAATCCTGAATTCTTTCATATTGCATAAATGAATTTGTACTAGTGCTAGCGAGATACTAGCGCACATTAACAGTAAGTAACTATAAATGCTGTAAGAAAAAAGGAAAAGCAAAGAAATTAAGAAGTGTCATGAGATTTTATTTTCTGCATTCACTTGTTATTGTAGTGGTGAACCACAACTTCAGTACAGTAACAAGTGGCTGCTGAGAGCGCACAGGATAAAAAGCGACCAAAACGTGTCTATCAGGTCATATATCATTTAATCTAGAATAAGAGAATGAGATCATATTTTTAAATTTCTCAAAGAGATTCTAAAGGCTGAATGAGAAGTACTGTGTATGAAAGGTAAGGTCATACGTTGCATTGTCTGGGCACCTGTGTTACATAACAAAAAGCATGTCAGCAAGTACACTTTTCTGCAGTACATTTACCATTTCACACAGTCCTTCAAACCCTCTAAACTACTTTAAACAGAACACATGCATCATTACAAAACACATGGGGTCAAATTACCTTTGACATGCAGAGATAAACTGAATTTCTAGACAGTTACTCTTCCAAAATACTATACGTTCTTGGGCGAAGCTTTAAAGTATGATTTCCTGTTTCTTCAATAACTTCACACCACTTTCAACACAGGAAAATTATTGTGAAAGTCAAGGTTAACCTGGCACTTATTGCATTTAGATGTCAATTATTCATAGTTCATCCATAGATATTTCATTCAAATATGCTGTAGTACTTTAACAGTTCCTCTTCCATCATACATGGCTCTATATATTTTCTCAATATTCAATAACTCAGCTTTAAAACTAACCTCAGCTTCCACGGGTTCTATGATCAGGTGCAAGGTAGGTAGTTTACTGACATTCATAATGCTTTGTTGAAAGGATCTAACTTTGTTCACATGGCAACCGGATAAGCTAAAAGACTTAAAATGGCACAAAAGACTCTACTGTGAAGCGAAGATCATTTGAAGCCTTATCATTTTACAGCACATAAAATTAAAACTTGTACAGTAGTGTTTCTGAAATGTTCCACTGGTATGAGAGCAGATGGGAGGAACAGGCTTTGTTCCCTTCATGTTTCTGCTGGAGTCACTGAACACGTTCCCATTCTGAATGGACTTTGGCTGGATTTTTCATGGCACGAATACGTACACCGATCAGCCATAACACTGCCATCACTGAGTCTGTCCTCACCTGTTCCATCACCATCCGGTATGCTGCCTCCACTGTCAAGAAAAAAAGCAGACTGCAGCGTATCATTCACTCTGCTAAGAGTGACTGACTGCAATATGCCATCGCACCAGAACCTGCACGACTCCAAGACCCTAAAGGAAGCAGGAGAGATTGTGGCCGACCGCTCCCACCTCAGACACAAACTTTTTGAAAACCCTCTCTCAGGTAAGACACTGTGGTCCATCTAGACCGAAGCTACTTTGCATAGGAACCGTTTCTTTCTGATTCCAGCTGCCCTCATAGACAAGACCCAGGACTTTGATCCCATCCCCCCATGGTCATTACATGGACTAACCTGATATGTAACATTAACACAACCTGTTGTGCACTTTGAAAAATACAGTATATACACTAATCAGTCATAACATTATGACCACTGGCTGGTGAAGTGGATAACACTGACTGTTACAGTGGCACCTGTCAGTGTGTTGGGTATATTAGGCAGCACGTGAACATTCAGTCCTCAAAGTTGATGTATCAGGAGCATGAAAAACACACAACTGTAAGGACCTGAGTGACTTTGACAACCCATAGGTCTTGTTGGGTGTTCCCAGTCTGCAGTGGTCAGTACCTACCAACAGTGTCTAAAGAAGGACAAACAGTGAACCAGCAATGGGGTCACGGGCGACCGAGGCTCACTGATGCATTTCGGAAGCAAAGGTTAGCCTGTCTAGTCCAATTCCACAGAAGAACTACTGTAGCACAGACTGCTTCAAAACAATGCTGACTATGACAGAAAGGAGCAGAGGCAGTGTGATACTTTGTACAATGTTCTGCTGGAAAGCCTTGGGTTCTGCTATTCATGTGGATGTTACTTTGACATGTAGCACCTACCTAAACATTGTTTCAGCAACAACACCCCTAATGGCGGTGGCCTCTTTCAGGACAATGCTCCCTACCACACTGCAAAAATGGTTCAGGAATGGTTTGAGAAGGACAACAATGACAGTTGACTTCACCTCCAATTTCCCCAGATTTCAGTCCAATTGATCATCTGTGGGATGTACTGGGCAAACAAGTCTGATCCATGGGGGCCCCACCTCACAGCTGACAGGGCTTAAAGGATCTGCACCTGACATTTTGGTGCTAGATACCAGAGGACACCTTCAGAGCTCTGTGGAGTCCAGGCCTTGACAGGTCAGAGCTATTTTGGTGGCAAAAGGGGGACCTACACATTATTAGGTAGGTGGTCATAATGTTATGGCTGATCAGTGTACGTAATGCAAATGCAACAGCACAGATATACCCACAAATTTAATACAACCCAGAAAATTTATCAAAGACCATTTGCAGGTCATTGTATTGTGATATAATTTTGAAAAAAACAAACAAAAAAAACAGGATGTGTTGTTTCACACCATAACTGTGTTATTATTCTAACTAAACACCTGAAGAATCTGTAATGCGTGAGGCAAAAGCAGATTAATACTTGACTTGTTCCATTATCATTAGCAGCCTGTAATTGTCATATAATTTAATTGAAAGTGTTGAGCTTGTGTTAAATTCCCTAGAGGCTGGTTATAATACTTCTGCTCAGCGATTTCACTGTATTTATCTGATTCTTGACACCAACAATGAGCAATTTTCTCTTTCTAGGTTTGAATGAGAGGAAAATCCTAATTCCACGAACACAAGTCCAGGTCCAGTAACATGCTGAAAGCATTTGGAGCCATTTCCTCTTACAGTATAATTTTATCAAATTCTTCCAACATGGCCCCTCTTCCTCTTAATATTCTTCTCTTCAAACACTTTATAGTATCCTAAACGTCATCCCTTCGCTGGTTCTCTCGTACTTGCCCAGTTTCTTTGGGTCCTTGCTGGGCATACACCAGTCATCAGCCTCTGTGCTGGTCTGGTAATGCCTTAAGGCCGACTTGTTGAAAACAGGAAGTCTCTCCACTGACTCTGAGGACAATGCCTGGACATACAGTACAGAAGGGAACTTATTAATTTGGATACACATGACACAGACACGTGCATGTTATCTAACATGGAACATGTGTTGAGTCATAACTTATAACACAACACACGTCAGCTGCACAACAGTTACTCTAACCTGCCTCTACTCAGTTAATCCAGCAAGTGTAGACTTGCACCTGCCTGTGAACTTTACACCTACTGTGCTTTCAGTTATTTCTGACACTGTGTGTGGGGGTAGTGCTGCTCCCACCTTCAAGTATATGACAGCTGAGGTGCCATAGCCCTCCATAGAGTAGAGCTGCAGGTCTCCCTGGAAATACTTGGCATACAAGCGGGAAATGGGCAGGCCATAACCAAAACCAGCCTGTGAGAAGAAGAGAAAGTTTCTCTTATGGTTACAATTTAATCAAGTGAAATGCTGCTGACTGCACTGCACTTTGTAATAAACAAATCATGCTGCTTTGTAAGAGTCTATGTTTAGCACAGTGAGAATAACATCTTTACTTTTAATCCCACTTTGAAGCAGCACAGTGAGATTTTACTGAACTACATCTCATGTTTAAAATGTAAACACAAGCCTGTAGCCTTGTAGCAAGACGATCATCAACATAGATGACTTACAAATAATAAGGTTTTGGCCTCACCAGTGGGGCATTACGAGAGTTGTCTGCGTGGACTGGACTGGGGGCTGTGGAGTACATGTAGCTGAAGAGACGTTCAATCTTCCTCAGAGGCACTCCACCTCCTCTGTCAGACATCTAAAAATAAGGGAGAGGTATGTGAGTCCCCTTATTGTTCTGCCAGCAGGTTCAAGCCCAGTGAACCCATTATCTTTTTTATCAAGTATTAAGTCATCAGGGTTAGTTTTATTAACAGTACCTGCTGAGTTAAGAATGTTCAGAACGGTTGATGGTACAATATGTATTTGTGTAGTGAGTGGCACTACAACACGTACTACTTTATCAGTACAAAGAACAGCGGTGTGCTTTCAGGACATCAGTTGTGGTCTGTTTTCGAACTCTTTGTGTTTTCTTATACCTTAATAGTGAGGTCCTCAGTGCCCAGCGAAACTCGCACTTTGATCGGGGGCACCGTTGCACTCATTTCATGGGTCTCCACTGTAGCTCTCATGGCGTTCTGACAAAGAACAGACAAAGTGTATTACATAATGAGTGAAAATTAGTTCAGGTGATTGTCAGGTGTGTTAGGCACCGTACCTTGAAGAGCTCAAACAGCATATGGTAAAGGTGGGATGGCACATAGACAATATGTAGGGGCTGGCCAGGGTTTTTGGCTGTAAAACAATAACATCATACAATGAAAAAGATACTTGAATATGCAGCTGTAAGGCCTTATAAACAACTGGGTGTTATACAAGTACACATTAACTCTGGCCCGAGACAACATCAGTTGAAAAAAGAGTCAAGCCACTCTTGCGAAATTAAGCAACGAAGAAGACATAAAAACATCATACATCATTTTGATTTATATTGTCTCGAGCTGCCAAGAACATGCTGGCCAAGTATGTAAAGTTAATATTTAAAGCACTGGTACATGTTCTGATTGATGTACTGCAATGGAAATAAGGAAACCATCTAATAAAAACAATCATTACACTTCTATTTAATGTTTAGGCTGTTGCTTGATCTGTAATTGAGGACGGAATGTCTAACGCAGACTCTGGCTCTTGGCAGGCCCAGCTGACAGAAAACAGACACACTTAAATCAACAAAGATTCATCTTAGTGGCTAAATTTCTGAAAAGCACCAGTAAACCTACAGCATCCTCACATACACACTTCTACAGCAGAAAATATCCAGGTGAAACAAGAAAGATACAGTACAGGCAAGAGTAACAGTCGACAGTGTGTGCACACAAATTAAAAATATCTGCAAACATTCTGGTTGTTTTTTTAAGACTTACAATTGAATTCTGTGATCTCCATATCAGGAGAGGTCAGGTAATACTGCTCACAAAGCACCTTTGAAGTCTCATAGGCATCTGTGATACAAAACAAAAAGTTAAAACCTCTGTTCAGTTGGTTACTTTTTAGCATAAAAAATGACAAGCTGAATGAGGAACACAACGTTTTCCATGTTTTAGTGAACCAGTTAACACAACAGTCAATAGCTGGTCTATTACAGCTGTACACATCCTAACACGCTTTCACTTCCTGCTGTTTACTGACTCTAGAAATTTAAAATAATACTTTGTAAAAGGTCAAATGGTCATGTATTCCATTTGTGGCCGACAGTGAATGAAAATAAATAACACATCCTGTGCGTGTGTATGTACGTGCATACAGACAGTGGCATTGAAGCAACGGATAATTTACCTTTTACTACCTCCACAACGTCACAGCTGGGGTCAATGCTGCCAATATGTTTGGGATGGGCTGGGTTCACACTTCCATTAAAAATTAATGCTACAGGGCAGAACAACAAACACTGTGTGTGACTCAAAAAACAGCTGTATAGACGCAATACATGGTGCAATATTTAGTAAAGCATAAGATGCATATAATGGTCAATGAGTTCTTTGCAGTAGGAAATGTAAACACAGGATGAACACTTACAGTTGACACAGTTGTACTGTACACTACACTTGTGTTCTGCTGGCAATAAAATGTGAGCGCTGCACTGCTGTAAATCTAATGAGGCAGGCCAGGTGTTGGCACTTTTGTAATGTTACATGCCTCAGATATCAGAGCCCTTTTCTTTGGGCATATCAAGTGCAATTTAATGACATGCGCTGTGAGTGTTAGCAACTGTGCTGATTAACTCACAGCCAATCACCAAGTGCTATACTGACTGTGCTGGTTCATGAGCATGCGTGTGGAGATGCGGCTCATGTAGAAGCGGTCCAGGAAGTACTGAACGTTCTGGTTGGTGACAGGGTCCACGCCAAAGGCCTCCTTGTACTCCACCACACCCTGGGCCATGGTAGGCACGACGTTGTTGTGTCGGTTACGAATGTTTACCAAAGTCTGAGTAAAGCTGAGAGCAAAGACATGATGGGTGTATGATGGTGAGGGCAAAACAGGAAGTCTACACATCTACATGAGCATATGTCATGTTACTGATCTGATTTCTATCCTATTATACTAAAAGAGGAATTCAAGCTAGAACCTCCATGTGATTTTCATCAAGGTGTTGCAACAATAGCTCTCTAAGTATATACCAATACCTCATATATAGCAATAGAATCATAGTTGATCCCAGCAAATTTTGATGTACTAGAATAGGTTACAAAACATCTGGTCATCAGTCAGTGCATTCAGGCATTCCCTTATTTTCATAACTCTCAAAAATGTATTCTGACAAGAAAAAGAATGCTCATATCATTTTCTACTTTCTTTTTTTTTTACAGTAGCCTGGAGCTAATTCAAATCCATTGGTAATAAGTGCTGTCACCACTAAAGTTCCATTTATAATACTTTAATCTGCAATTCAAAGCAGGAAAACGAGTTCTACACCCAGGTAGCAAATATTGAAATAGGTGCTGAATAAACAAGATTAATTAGTCTTAATAACTCCAAATTAAAAGGAATTATTGCTGCAACTGAACTACAAGAACAGTTCCTCTTTGTGGTAGACCGTGGGATTTCAGTGAAGCAACAGTGCATTAACCTAATGGACACCTTCATCTTCTACCTCTGAGTCTGACAGCGGCTCTACAACAAGGTATGTAGGCATGAAAGCTGCGACCACAGCTGTTTCCATGACACACACTGGAGTGATCTGAAGTCAGCAGTGTGAGGTTGAAAACAAGCTGTTAACAAATAATTACAGAACGGTTGGATTGTTACTGGGTGGACAATTACCGAACTGGATTGGTAACAGAAACAGAACGAGATAAGGGCATTTGAAACGTCTACACAGGAAATACATGCAAGGTGGAGAGTGTTACTTACTTTGTAAGGACAGCTTTATCATCTGGATCTCTTTCTAAAAAGTCTACAAGCTCCAACAAACTCTGTGAATACCTGACAGAGAAAAAAAGGATAGATTTTAAAAGAAGGCACAGGCACATTCAGCTCTGGTGAATTTACTACATCTCAGAATGAAAAAAGCTCTACTGATAAACAAAAAGACCTATCTGTTGATTATTATGTGTGTGTTGTATACTAGACTTTCTTAAAATAACCAGTTCAACAGCTGATAAAAAAAGTCATCAGTGCTGAGCTCACTGAGTCACACTCTCTCTGTCTTGTTGTATCATTGTAGAAAACCATGTGGAAGGTGAACAGTGCTGTGGCTTTGTGTTCTACCTCATGAATTTGTCCCTCAGCTGACCTTCAGCTCGTGGTCTGGGATTAAGTCCCGCCATGCAAACAGATCTTGAAGTAGACTATGATACAACTTATATTTTCACAGGCTTGCCAGGAAACATCAATGTGTCACCTCTCTCCCTTCATCAACAACATTAATAAGTGAGAGAGAAAGTCTCTTAGTTACTAGTAGGGAACAGCTTTCAGTGTAAGAGGTAGACAGCCAAATATAGACACTGCTGTGACTCTTGAAAAAAAATGGGCGTGGGGAATGACCTTTATTGTCCACATGTCTTCGTGTGACTTGCACACCAAACATAGATGTAAATAGAAGCATATACATAATTTAATAAAGGCCTGTGTGTAAAAATATATGCCAATATGAAACAGGGGCTGTGGGGCTTGCCTTGGCCTTATCTAATTCAAATACAGAGCATAAAGCATGTAGGTGTAGTAGGTGCACAGAGGGTCGACTGGGTGAGAGACAGCATTAGCAGCAATGCTGTCATCCCATCAGATAAGCATGTGGCATGCTGCTTTCATAAAGGAGGCATATGCATACAGAATGCTCAGAGGTGGAGGAAGACAACGGATCCCATAGAAAGAGATGTAGTCGAGTGAAGAGATCCTACCAGCTAGTGAGGAGCTTTAGAGATGGAGTGCTGAGGAGCTTATCTGGGAGTAAATCAATCTCCTTCATGATGTTGGCCAGTCGGACAGGAAGCTCCTGGCGCAGGAACACAAAGGAGGTCTTCTCACATGCATTGGCTGAGCCTGCAGCCACATGAGGGACACAGACAGGGGACAAATGACTGAACAAGCATTCAACTTTCACCCCATCAGGTTAAATGAACGTTTAGAGGAGATCTACCGAGGATTATCTGTATAAAAGGTTTTTCTTTGCCTGAATCTGCTGTGCAAATAAAAAGGGAAATCAGGATAAAAATATCCTTTATTCTGCTGAGTTAGCAGTAACATGGAGGTCAACAGCACCGGTTTGTTGTTTCTTCTGTCTGTCATTGCAACATTCATACAGCTTTCATACAGTCTAAATTGTTAAAACGTTTTGATTTAGTGGGATATAAGACTGCTGGGTTTATGTATAAAGCCAGGAACAATTTATTACCTGGTGGAATTCAAAAGTTATTTAATGAAAGGGAAGGGGGATACAATTTAAGGGGTCAGTTAAATTATAAAATTCATGCTATACGTACAACCAAAAAAAGATTCTGTATTTCCATAAGTGGGATAAAACTATGGAATAATTTAAGTGTGGACATAAAAAATAGTAATAGAATTGACGAGTTTAAACATAAATATAAAGGTATGTGTCAATCAAGATATATGCAAGAACAGGCTTAATGATTAATTAGATACTAGGTATAAGCAAATTGATATTGGATTAGCATTTGTTGGATATGTGTAAAATTATGTGTGTCGACATATCAACTGTCTTTACATGCTTGAAAGAATAAATCAAATCAAATCAAACATTTTGTTAGACACCGAAGCCAAATGGCAATTTTAGATCTAGTAAGAAAAGCATCAGCGTCTCCAGTGAAACCTGAGCGTGTGTATTTGTCCAGCATCGCTGCTGTTGTCTGTTGTCTGTTGTCTGTGCATGAGCCGTATAACGTTACTGCCAAGTCAGCTGTAACACAAACTGAATAACAGGAGTTGTGCAATGTGAGTGTGGAAAAACAACTGCGCTACCAGCGACATTAGTAACACTTACCAAAGTCAATGAACTGCTTCATGGACAAAGGAGAAGGGGAAAACTTGGAAAACCTCTCCACTTGTTTCGGTATAAGAGCTACGGGGACGCTTTTCATTAATAACCGAGCGAACTTCATTTTCCGTCTCCTTCACAGACCCCGTAACAGTCCGGGTATCAGGGACGAGCTGTTCTTTCTTTCCTCATCCCGCTCCAGTTGATCGACTTCTGGTTTGCAAGAATCCCTTTTTTAAATCAACATATTTAAAGCGTATGGCTACAAGGTCCCCATTGCTGCTTTTCTCTAGCAGTTTCCTCGCATCTTTGTGCACTGGTGTATGACCTCCAAATGCAATTTCCAACACAGATGTTTACTTTCAATTCGTAACTTCCGATCCGTCAGTTAAGAGCAAATTTAAGGGAAACTTAATAGGGAGAGATCATGGCACTGAACCGTAGTGGTTTTTGAGCCCATATTTATCAAGCGTCTCGGAAGCACATAGGAATCGCGCTGCTACTTGAAATAGTCCTACTTCATAGTTGGACCACAGTTGTAAATGTCTTATTCGTGGACGGATTATGAGACAATGGGCCCCTGGGCACAAACACATAGAAGGCCACCCACTCCTCCCACATTGGGTGAAAGCCCCAGACTGGAAGAAACCCAGATTAACAACACAGCAGCCTGTTTCCAATCATAATATCTTATTTGTTTAGCATGTTTTGTATTGTTTTTGTGCCTCTTTGTGGTTATTTAGATTTTTTGATTTGATTTATTCTTTCAAGCATGTAAAGACAGTTGATATGTCAACACACATAATTTTACACATATCCAACAAATGCTAATCCAATATCAATTTGCTTATACCTAG